ACTTAGAGGATGTCAGTGTTCTCTTTTTAGCAAAACTCAACACAAAACCTCAAAAGAACATCAAAAGATTGGCTTTCTTGATTTCCATTCATGCTGTGAAGTGAAAACTGCGTTATAAGCCCAGTGGGTTGAGCCTAGCTAGTTGAGATGTGAGAACTCTATGTGATTGTTGAGATCCACTCCACCGCTTTTCAAACAGAGTGTAGTAGCCATGCAAAAGATAGACCTGACAGGTAGGGGAGCCCAGGCTCAAAGGAGGAACCTGCTCCAGGCTTCACCACTAGCAAATGATAGTGTAAGACTCATAAGTCTCTCTAACAGCAAAACCCACCCCTGTCACTCTACTGTGTTCACAGAGTGCTACCCTGTTGGCCAGGCAAACATTCTAGTCAGGAACAAGGCAGCCGCTGAGTTTGGAGCTTTTCAGAAATGTTTCCTTTGCTTTCAGTTCACAGAAGGCGCCTTATTGGATGGGCTGTACTGGAAGACACAGCCCAGCAACAGAACTGAGGCTGACAACCGAAGTTTCATCTACTATGAGAACCTCCTGTTAGGGGTCCCACGGATACGGCAACTCAAAGTCAGAAATGGATCCTGTTCTATCCCTCAGGACTTACGAGATGAGATTAAAGAGTGCTATGATGTCTACTCTGTCAGTAGTGAAGACAGAGCTCCATTTGGTCCAAGAAATGGAACTGCGTAAGTGTCTGTGGCTCATGGCCACATGTCCTGGCCTCTCAGTGACATTCATTCATTATTTTATTCATTCATTTGCTCTCTGACTCCTTCACCAAGGAGAAGATGCCTTTAAGTGAATCTTCAATACTTATATTTAAGGGCATGGCCAAACTGACCTTTGGTTTCTCAAGTTTTCTCTACCTTTTTTCCCTTTCAGCTTCTACATACATATTTTTCAAAAGGCTAAATCATTGACCGTATGGCCCACAAGAAAGAAGCTACATGGTCCTTCATGTGTTTCTTTTAAGACGCCTGGATATTATTTTTATAGATCTAGCAATATCATTCACTAGATTATTTCTGGAAAATTATTTTATTATTAGCTCTTACAAATACATTTTTGTTCAGAGTGCAATAATTAAAAGTGTATAATAAGCTGGTGGGGGCAGTTTTTTTGTCTGTTTGAAAGCCTGTCCTTCTCAAATGTGTGTTTTTTATTTTGAGTATGTATTTATAATGTGCATGTATACAGGGTTTGTGTGTGTGTGTATATTCTTTGGCAACCATACTTAAAACATCTCATGTATTAAAGGAGGACAGTCATTCTTTTTAGAATTACTGTAGTTATTATAAAGAAATGAGAAGCACTCTCAGGCTGTCCCAAGGTGGGCTTTTAAGGGTCACTGCCCCAGGTGAGTCACTGTGGTGAGAATTGTCATCTAAGCTTTACTGAGTTAATTCTGTCCATTCATCTAGATCCTGGAGACTGAGTCACCCAGGATCTAGATTTGTTCATGTACAGTGGGACAAACACCTTTTCTATGATCAGGTTCTTTGTCTGTCGTCTAGCACACACCCTGTTTAGTTCCAGGGTCCATAAGAAATTTAGTAAAAAATCAGAAGATTTAGAGTAAAGGGCCTAAATAATCTCAGAAGACTTTTTTTTTTCAGGTTATCATAATGATTTTCCTTTCTGATGATCCTTTTCCTAATGCCTGCCAAGCATAAGCATGCCCTTAAACTGTGGTCCCTTGTCCAGTATTTTACTTTATCTCATTTCATAAATATGAGAAATTTTTGCAGCCACTACTCCATGCCAGATGCTACTTAAGAAGTGATTTCATGCATTATCTCATCTACTCTTCACAAAACAACTCTGAAATAGGCATCATCTCCATTTTATAGATGAAAAACAGAGGCTCACTTACCCACCCAAAGCACCACACCTAGTATAATAAATGGAACTAAGCTGGGATTTAGCCAACCTGACTCCCAAACCCGTGTTTTCTTCTTCCATATTAATTATGTTGTTAAGGTAGCTTTTTGCTTCCCTAAACTCCCCATCAGTATTCCAGCGTGAGGGCAGGGACTCTATTTTGTTCACTGCTGTGTTCTTAAAACCTTGAATAGTGCCTGGTCTGTAAGGATGCTCAGTAAATACTTGTTGGATGAATGGATGAATAAGTGATTTCCACTACAGGGTGGACTATTGAAGGGGATCTTTCTTGTGTGTCTCTAAGCCACCCTCGGATCGTGCCATATTCTCAAGTTACTGCCATTTCTCCTTCCCCTCAACTCCAGACTTTTTGAAAGAATAATCTTCACTTGACACCTACACTTCCTTACCGTTGATTCACCCCTTTAACATTTAAGCCCTTGCTTTTGACATTTCTCTTGGAAGCTCCCAGTGACCTCTGGTTAGCAAACCCATGAACAATTCTCAGTCTTCATCCTATTCAACCTCTTTGAAGAATGTGGTAGCATTGATAGCTCATTCTTTTGACTTCTGTGAGTG